ACACCCTGTATATTTCAAAATATTTTTAAAATGTAGCCGTAATCAACCTACACATACTCACCTAAACAGGTTTCTGTAACATTTGCCGTTTGGTCACTAGCGACCGAGGCGTTACTGGTGGCCCACCCTGTATATTGTTCTTAGGAACCTATGAAGACTTTAAAAAACAACGAAAAATATATAAACGTCCTATATTTTATTATCGTGAAATGTTACAGTTGTCAAAATGTGTAAATTATGTATTAATTATGCTATACAGGGTGATTCAGAACTTATAAAACAAAATATTTTTGAATGTACAGGTGACTCTTAGAAATAGCATGCATGCAGCATGAACGGACAAAAAAATTGACAGAATATCTTTCCCAAGGGAAAAAATAAATAAAATTTTATAGCACATATTTTATATCAGCAAATTTAACTGCTTTTGCGGCTATTAATATTAATTAATAAAATTAATTTGTGGTTTTAATTTAAAAAAAATAATTTGGCATTGAATAACTGTTCAAAGTTTGGTCCACCGACGTGTAAACACATTTGGTCCCGTCTTACCCAGTTTCTACTAGCTAACACAAATGTTGTCTTGCTTTACCATAAATTAAAAAAAAAATCTCCATTAACGCCGAGTTTCCATATAGGCACGTAAACCATTTTTGACACTTGAAAAACTATTGTAAACACTATTCGGAATCACCTGGGGCCACGCGGAGAGAGAGCGCATTGCGTACAGCGCACAACGCGAATGACGCTAGAGACTACAGTAGTCCAGCGATGTAAGGGTTTTAAATACTACAACTTCAACAATTTTTTTCTCGGAAATTAAGAGTTTTACAATGTTTTTCACGATATTGACTCCATTTTTCAAGACGCGTCTATTCCCAAATTTTTTTGGATACTTATGCAAATTGGGTACAATATAAAAAGTATTGTATCGTACATAAACAGCAAAACATATTACACCAGGAAAATTAGCGAAAATAAAAGAGAAACTCGAAAAAAGTCCTATCCGCGATATTATTGTAAAATTGTGTTGGGATTATGGGTAGAACTAAAACACTTTAATAATTAAAAGATATTGTTTATTCACTTATTCAGAGAGCACATCTATTCGGTATCAAATCAGATTAGAAACTAAAAATCTCTCCCAAGCCCAGTGCTACAATATACCTCCGTATGTTTATAAGCATTTTTAATTTATAGGGAAGGTCTCTTGAACCTTCAGCTGATAAATATATAAACAGATTAAAAGTAGGCAGTATCTAAGGATGGGAATGTTTTTGTTTACGTAACTTGAGTATCTTTCAACAAATTGTCTAAAGGAACATAATACAAGACATCTCTCATCTCGTGAGTCAAAAACTTTTATTAGCTAACTTTTCTATTTAAACAAATAAGTGAGGAAAACAGTTTTTTCACTTTGCAGGGAAAACCATCAATTTTAGCGAAAAGTGACTCTCAG